TATTCAAAAAGTTACATATGTATGCAATGAAAAAAGCAGTTTAACTTTATCCCTAAATCTTTGTGTTTGTTTTGAATTAAACGCGTTGCAAATTGGTTCCAAATTGGGCATGCTAGACGCGTTTTTGTTATGCGTACTATTTTCCGGTTTTTTTTTTGACACACTGTATAATTACAGTGAAACTTGTGATGCTACGGTGTAAACGTTGACGTATTCTCTCCTGAATTTCTGCATTATACTCTGACGCAGCAGCGGTACATGCAGCGATGTAAAAGTAAACATATACGGAAGACAATAGCTTAGATAATTTGTAATAGCAGCTAAAAATATATCAATTAGTCCGCTCGAAAGAGTGTCAATCAGTGCATGTTTAGAATGTTCTGATTCTTTTATTGTAAATAAACGAGTAGTTCTTTATTACTAATTGCTCATAGAATTAGTAGTCTAAAAAAAGCGTTTCACTTTTTCTGCGACGCTAAAAGATATATAAGCAGCTCATCTGCCATCGTCAAAAACTCATGTTCGAATGTTTGTTAATATTGTTACAAAAACAAATCAATAATACTACTGATCTTAGTATTAGTGGTATTCTCCCGAAATCCTTATTATCAATATACATATTTATTCTTTCACCGTCGAAATAATTGATTATTAGACCGGACACTCCAATAAACTGCTCACTTAATTAAGCTGTAACGGAAATTAGTGTTGATTTAGTTCAAACTATAAGCTGTCCGCGGATCAATTACGTGAATAACGGAACGGGAGTTTATAATTAATTATAAAGACGATTTTTGTTTAATCAGTTTAGTAAGAGATAAGTGACAGATACCGACTAGTCGAAAACAAATCGAAGTAGCATGTTTCTTTGTATGAAGTAGCAATATTGACAGTTAACCATTATTATTATTATACTGATCTAATAGCCAGTTGGAATGTTTTATTTATAAAATAATAAATATAAATTTTTGATTTTTAAATATGTGCAGAATATTTTATCTGTAATAATTTTGATAAACGCGCAGTATTTCCTTACCTTACTGGCATGATATATCTTTTAACAATGTTCGTAAGTCCATATTTCTCTATCGTAAGTTCTGTTGTAAATAGATCACATGATTCTTGTGATCGACACAAATTATCTTTCTCAATCAAATATGTTTGCAGAACTCTAAATGTATCGTCGAAATTTACGGCTTTCCGCCAAATCGGATACTCAGTCATCCACTCGGACCTCCAGATCACCACAATCGACATTCCTCAGTAATCGCCTGATTACTTTTATTCTAATATATCGCATTATTAACGCATTTATTACACAGACGTATTATGTTCCAGATGAATACTGGCAATCACTTGAAGTTGCGCATCGAGTCATATTCGGATATCCTTTTTAATTGTTTTATAGTTAGCGATGATAGAAGCGTGATTTAATGTCTATGAGAAGTCTGCGCCTCTTAGTATCTTTAACATTAAGTGCATCTAACACGTATGGATTCTTGACATGGGAATGGAGAGAGGGAATCAGAAGCATTGCGCATCCAATGATATTTGGAATTGTGTATAAAGTACTGGAATTGTTGGGGCTTGATGATGGACAGTTGTTTGTACGTATATTGCGGGGGGATAGATTCATGCTTTGTATCAGCTAATTTAAGATTCACTATTTATTTGAGATCTATGCTCCGAGGATACTACAAGGCATAATTGCAGCAATTGGAGATATATACACTTATCGTTTAGCGTCCCTTTTTTATTCCGCTGACACGGCAAAATGGGCTGTATCCTTTTCTTTGGATCATTAAATGCAATACCTAATTGCTGCTCGATCATTGATATTCATCCTTAGCCAATTATCCGCCTTCCACTATTTCGTTGTTTTGTTTTTCCTTATTGTACTATCAGTTACTGTGCTCATTGGCATCGTGGTTCAACTTTATGAGCTCAGTACGAGTTCTATCCAACAGCATGGAAACTGTACTTACAACAGTCGCTTTGTATTATTGGCCGTGGCCTTCGATTGGTGAAGGACAGTGGAGTGTACGGATAAAGTATGTGTTGAGAGAGGTAATATGTGATTTAATGAATGGCAAAATTACTGATAGTGTTTCCATTAATTTAGGAACATGCGTGTGTCATTATGCTTAGCAGCATTGACGTGTATTCTCAGGCCAACCAACGCGATAATTTGGATATTTCTTGGAGTTTATCTTCTATTTAATACACGCATTCATTCAGTGTCCATAATAATCAACACGTCCATGATAATGTACTGTATAATTTCATTAACAATAACTCTTTATAATCACACCATACTTATACCGACTTATTGTTTCTTTCTACCACAAATAAATTCCACAATCTTTATTCGAGTAGGATTCTTGCATTTGGAATAATGGTTTCGCTAGACTATATTTTCTACAAAACCTTAATCTTCGCGCCATATAAATTCGTCCACTTTAATGTCTACAAGAACGTTTCCCTTTTCTATGGCACACACCCATGGTATTGGTACATCGTTGCGGGAATTCCGGTACTCATGACGAGTATGCTTCCATTCACGGTTTTTGGGATCGCGCGTACAATACAGCAATATCGAGAATATACAGAATTGGGCAAATCGCAGGATGTTGGCGAGTCTGGTGGAAAAATGTTACGTTTACAGAAAAGTCCTTTGAAGAAGAGTTTGTCGACACAAGCAAGCGAAGCTGATAAAACCGAGAAAATGATCGGTTCTGCAAAACACAATGCATGGCGTATACCACTTCTCTTTCTACTCGTTTGGGTGATATCTGGTTACAGTCTCCTCTCTCACAAGGAATTCCGATTCATCCAACCGCTCCTTCCCATTTTCATCATGTTCACATCCTTTGGCATCACTCAATACCTATCCTCGAGAATTCGAATATCAAAATTACTAATCGTGCTATTGGTCATAACTAATTTACCTGTAGGCATCTACATGTCGTTGATCCATCAAAGGGGAGTAGTAGACGTTATGAGTTATTTGAGAAAGGAAGCACAAAATGGAAGAGTTGATGAAATCGGCTTCTTGATGCCGTGCCACTCGACTCCGGGATATTGTAATCTCCACGTTAATGTACCTATGTGGTTTTTGACTTGTGAACCCCCAATCGAGTAAGTTGCTGGTAATGGGCATGTAATTAAGCCACATCAAATGTACGAACATACATTCAAAGTACCTAATCTCTTTTATCGACATGAATGATGAACTTCCAATATTGTACAGGATCCCGGAGAATGAGCTTGGCAATTACATGGATGAATCTGATATGTTTTATGCTGACCCGGTTGGTTTCTTACAACGGGAATTCGATAAAGTGCCCCACGATAACGTGATGCACATGCATGACAGCAATAAAAGAAAATGGCCAAGTCATTTAGTCATGTTTGAGAATCTTATGTCTGACATTGGAACATTATTAACGGGTTCATCTTATCGTGAGGTATTTAATAATGCTGATGTTTAAACATTTAATGTTAACGTTCGAGATATCTTTTTGTTTAACTATCATTGACCATTAAATATGCATTCTGCATGTAGTGCGCCAGATTCTTCAATTCACACTTTCACGATGACTCTAGACGTAGAGGAGATGTCATTGTGTTGTGCATCCGGAGAGCAGAAGATAACTTATAATTGCTGATTGATAAACTATACTCGTAAACTCAATCTAAGCGATCTTTCATGTCATTATCATGGATTATTTTATCAAAAGTCTTGAATTCCTGTTCCTGACGATTCTCCTTGCATTTCGTTTGGTTCCTCTGACGAGCGAAGGTATATATTAATGGTAATAAAAAGATATAACACCTATAATACTACCGAATTTAAGGATACTCTCATACCTTCATCAAAATATGCATCTTGGATGTCATTATCCTCTTGTTCATTATCATCATACTCTTCATTATAATCAACAGAATTATAATCAAAATCAGGCTATAAAAAGTTCCAAATAAAAACTTGTTAATTGATTCGAGATTATACACGATTTTTTTATCGTCAACAGGCTTACATCATTTCCGCTAAGAAATTTCTCTCTCATGATATCAACAAGCTGTGTTCTGAACCCACGTTTTTCTTCTTCTGATATTTGGGGTATATGTCGCTCCGAATCTACCAATCCACGTTGAGCGGCATCTATTGATACATCACTGCTAGTTGTTGGCGATGCCTCATTATTGTTGCTAGTATCAACGTCCATTGAATACGTCCGATGACCATTTTGAAGGGCATTATGTTTATAGATTCCATTGATGGGAGGGGTGGCTGGGACATCTTCATCATCTGATGTTTCGGATTCTGGTGTCTGTTCTTCCATTATACGTTGTTCCTGTTCTCTTCTTTCACGAATGTGGAATTGGTCTATTTGGTATTATTGGTTTGAGAACCAATCGTAATTTGAGTTAGTGCGTTATGATATGTAACGCCAGTAAATATATAATCACTATAACCATTCATCATTACCTACTGTTATACTTTCATGTGTTGGTTTTAGGTTGTTCACGTCCACTTACCTATATCATAATACATTCTATCCACAAGATTTGTATTATCACTGAACGGAGGATACCTCTCTTGATTCGGTATATACTTTCCAACATATTCTTCATATAGCAACGGATCTCTCATTTCCATCTCTTCGTCACTAAAATATGCTGTATTGTCAAGCCTGGTAATCAGGTACACATATCTCCTGTTAAGAATCTTCGTATCTTTCCTCTCAAATGGGCGACTTGACTGTTGTGTGTCTAATGGAGCCGTTCTCTCTGTGCGTTCCTTCTTAAACTGTTCCAGATGCCATTGAACTTCATAATCATCTTCGTTTATCATATTAGAATTTGCAGTCAGCTTCGATCACAAGATCGCTCATTACAATGCAAAGTACGATGGGTAAACCACCTCTAAGAACTTCAAACCTGGACAATTGCTCATTGGGCAGATATTTCCCCCACTTCGAAAGGAACAAACCCGGATCCGTATACAGAATTTCCTTCATTGCATGTAATTTGTGTTCATCAGAGGGCTCTTGCTCATGTTCGCGGAGTGTTTTAAAGGGAATCTGAGATAAATTGGAATTTATAAAATCCATCAAAGCTGATTTTGAATTAGTGTCCATTTACGTTTAGAAATATTGTGGGTGTTTGAAAAGGGATACGACATTTATCGATCCGTTACATATCGGAAATCACGGGACTGTAAATTTTGTATTTAACCACTACGAGTTACTCTATACAGTTATACAGTCGCACCCTGCGCTGCAAAACGACCAGCATCACACATGACTTTGTAGCAAAATTTAAATCTATACCAAATTTGTCGGCAACACAATTACATTATCCATTAGACGTTTGATTCTGCGAAAAAAATAGCCAACGAAATAGTCGAGCTAATCGAAGATATTGATGAATAAAATACAACTGGGTGTAAGCTTATATTGCCTAAACTATACATATAATGCAATAATAGGATTAATTTTATAAACAAATGTTTAACGTCTTACATTTCTTAATTAATAGTTACCCACCATGAATATGTTGGACAGAATGGTATATCATTTTGGTATTACTGTTCGCAGCGTGACAACTTAGCTGCCAAGCCAAGAAAGCATCCCGATCCACTGAAGCATAGAGATACGCCTTCTATGGAACGCTTTACCTGCAACAGTCTTATTAAGATAACAATAAATAACACGTCAGGACTGACCTTGCAGCATAGCATATTACATAAAAAACAAAAAAAAGTTTCTATTTCTCAGGAGGTTGAGACGTTCATTAAAGAAAATATCGATCTCTTACCACGTGAAATATATTCGCAGCTGATTAGAATCCATCGATTCGGCAGAAGCGCGTACATTTTTAGTGGTTTGGGCAAGAACGCTATAAACGTCATAGCAATGCTTTTGAATCGGCTATTCTGTGGTTACGGGAACGACAGTATGACATTATACTTAATGAAACGGAACCTGTTCGTGTTCTGGCTTTCGACACTAGAATGTTGGATTAATTGGGAATTAATAGCGGAATAGACACCACATGTATGTCTCATTAGTATTTGTTGTTATTATTTTAAATCTATATATCTAACTATGTATATGTGTACTTTTAAGACAACACGAACAATATAGGATTTGAATTGTATAACTTACGTGCAGAGATGAACGACATTGGATTCCAATTATCATATTTATTCATAGAGAATAACGGACAATGTAAAACAGGAATACTGCAAAATTCCTTACAATATTTCGTAATCGAGGGTTGAATCCTACTTTTTTTATAACGGATAAAGATTTCGCCCAAATAAATGCTGCTCGCTTTACAGTAAGATTCAGTTATGCAAATGGCACATCAAAAGGGCTGTCTTTATCAGACTTTTAAGTAATAAGATTACAACTAGATCTTCGGGATTTAATCCTCTTTCGGAATTTGGGAACAGGTTTTCCCTTCCGCGGAATTGAACAAGCGTCTCAATTTTGTCCCGAGGAACTGCGTGAAATAGTATGGAATATAATGGAAAAACATTTACATCAACATCCGCTCATTCCGAACATTGAAGGACAGTTTCTTACCAAAAATGAAATTTATGAAGCAACAGTTGTTGAAGAAATGTACACATTCTGCTTTAATTTTACCCTGGATGTATCTTTGGACGAACGGAATGATATGATGTCTCAAAGTGGCTATTGTGGGCACGGTCTCCCTGGGAAGACAAGCTTTCCATCTTAAAAACCACAACGTTCAGCGAAGGCAATAAAAAGAGACTTTTTATACAAATTTTTTCGCCCACGAATGGATCTTGTATATATTTTAATGGAAAAAGTGGTCGTTCATCAAGAACGAAAATTACAACAAATTTATTATGGTGTTGAAAAGCCAGAGTGGACCAACCGATAAATCACACTTATATAACAGATTTGGAAGGGTTCCGCGAGAAATTGGCAACCTCCTTTTTCGATGGAAACTGATACAAATATTGCATCACACCAAATATTGGACAGTTGGCTGATGCAAATAATAACATCACATCGAATGAACAAGAGTCAAAAGGAAATAATATTTTAATCCCTTATTTGGAAAAGAACAATGCCACTAACGTGGAAAGGTCATAATGGTAGTACTAGATGTATGTATTATTGCGGTTTTCAAAATGCCGTTAAACCCTGTCCACGGGACTAAAAAAAAAACAAAAAACAAAGGTACAGATTATAGAGGTGCAGTCAAACTCAACTCTTCTAGCTAAGAAAGCACAACATTTATCTGGCTTACGGAAACCTGACTGCCAAGTTACAGCTTCCCACGTAAAGGGAAAGTACGAGATTACAAGGCGATTACAAAGCGATTACAGATACGATTACAGGCGATTACAGGCGATTATTATGTGATTACAGGCGTGTAACTAAAAAGACAGAGCAGGACATGTCAGGTCTATCACAGAATAAGAATAAAAAGTCTCAGCGATCAACCATAACCATATAATGTTGTGAGCCCAAAGTTTGAGATGTGAGGGAGATGGCTGTGACTTTCTTCGAAAACGTCACGTGAAAATTATAATCAATAAATTTTGCTACACAGTGGTCATGTATTTATATTTATTGTTCACACTTTTTTGTTATAGTGTTGCTTATTTTCGGGTAGTACAGTGAACTCTCCCTAAATGCACGCCTTGGGACCGTAAGTGTGAGACGTGCATTTAGGGAGAGTATAATAAATTCACGTGATTCCGATACTTTATCCATTTATTGGTTAAAATATTGATCAATGCTTGTTTGTCGCATCGTATTA